CCTGGGAGCAAACACTCGGTCAGCTAATGCGACGTGTTAATAGCAGGCGGGTGGTCTAGGCGGTTTTGGTACTCACTGGGGTCCTGGTCTCTGATGGTCTGCAGCAGGCGGTCTGCAGGATACTCACACACACGGAGCACGGAGGTGAAGGCCGACCGCTCAGCCCTGACCTCCAGCAGCTTCAGGTCACCCTGAGATCCCACAGCCAGCAGCCTGAAGCCGCCGACTCCCCGAGAGTGGACGGACACCTCCTCCCACGAAAAACTGTGAGCAGAAAGAAACTTTTAGAAAATCTGCTTGTTTGCCTGCAGCCCTCACTAACCGACACAGCACAGGGAGGACGTCTGCTGACCTCCAGCTGCAGTATCAGCTGTCTTTGGAGGCAGCTGCACTCCACAGAGAGCCACACACTGCAGTGCTTCAGCATACAAACACATGTTTGAGTAATACACGCATTTATTTTCAGCCCATTTTCTTATTGTGTGTGTGTCACATTACCCAAATCATGTAGATATTTTAGCAATCATCAAATAGTCAGAAAGTGAAATGTTAGCTGTGACTGGACAGTGCCGGGCGGAGCTCTGTTTGATGGGTTCTAGTTTAAACAGAGGATGTCTCACGTTGACGTGTTTCAGATCCGACGCATTTTAATGTTAAACCAGTTACTCGGAGATTATTCAGCTTCATCACAGTCACTATCTGTGCAGTTCCTGCTGACTCACTCTCGGTAGCTGCCCTCCACTGCAGCCGGAGAAGGTTCTCTGTCCGCCGGGTCCCACACCACCAGCTGCCCCCGGACCCCCAGACATCCGAGCAGGGAGCCTCCAGGGGCAAGCTCAGCTTTCCGTACGTCCGCTACATCACCACAGTGCTGATTCTCCGGGATCACAGCTACCTCCGTGGATCCAGCCTGCAGCCGCTGATCCGCTTCCAACATCTTCGCGCGGTGAACCGGGACCGGAGAAACCGGATTAAAGGTCTAACTGTGAGCTAAGAAGACATTTTAGTTTCAAAAGAAGAATAAATCTGCTGTCGAGGCTCTTTGGATACTTCCTTTTCTCATGTAAACAGCTGCTCGGGTTCAGTTGTCACGTGTGCTGCCTCTACTGTCAGCTGACCTCCGCGGAAAGTCATGCGCAATAACGTCATCGTGGATTGATTGCTTTTCCCTGGACCCAGCTCTAAAATGCGACACGCTAATTGGCTGAGACTAACACCGCCGATCTGTATACAGTTTAGCAGTTAGCGCTCGTGCTAACTATAGCTGATTGGTTCCATTGTCGCAGATAGAGATCTGCTGAAGGCGCGCTGCTGTATGCTAACGGCTGTCTCTTAGCTTTCCTGCCAAAGTCACCGCGAAAGGTCCCGTTTATTATGGCGTTTTCTAAAACATGGAAGCAGTGTTGAGCCTCGTGTCGTTAACTGTCACGAAGGCTTTACAGTTCTCCGGACTGACGGACAACTGGAATGCCCCGAGGGCCAAAAAGATGGAGGAGAAAGCGTTAGAAGTGTACGGTACGTTCAGCCGGTAATGGAGGCTAATGGAGGCTCTGGTCTCATAAACAAGGCTCTACTGCACTGTCAGCTAACCTGTCTACGTACTGTAAGTCTGTAAACCCACGGCCAAGATACTGACAATAAATACCAACGACTGTAAATAATGTTAAATACATACAGTCAGTGATGACT